AAGAATGTCTACATTTATGCCTAATGCTCACATACAATAAATACTGTAAAATACAGTCATATATGTCTCAAATAAAAGTATTTAAAATTGCTATAGGAATGATTATCAACCTCTGGAATGCTAATGTTATGCTAACATTGGAGTGGTAGAGTCCATTCACTCCTCTTCCTCTGACTGGTGGAATGATATGACCCAATAAAACTTCCTTTACTGTAAGGAAGAAAAGGAGTGCTTACATTTTCAACAAACATGCAGGCATTATATTGGGGACTAGTGACTTTTGGCAGATAAATTAATTCCTCTACAGGCTGGTAATCATTGCTAGACCATAAATGAGGCTGAGTGAGGCTTTATATTGCAAAATAAATAAATAAAAAAATACATGAAAATAAAAATGTTTATACATGATTTTGGTAGTAAGTGGATTCAAAATACAGTTTACGTTCCTGGTCCCCCTCTGCTTACTTTAAAAATGTGTTTTACTAATCTTTTTTCCAGCATCATGTCAGTCTTTTTGTGACTGCTCCGCCCCACTCTGCCTTCTTAGCTGAGATCATCAAACTTAATGATCTCAGCCAACCCAATGATTTTCCTATAGGAAAGCATTGGGAGGTTGTTGTGCATGCATACAATGGGGACACTGTCACTCTTGCACACTGTGCAGCACCTCTAGTGGCCATCTGAGTGACTGCACCTAATGGTGTTACAAGTAATGCAAACACGGCCTTTTCTCTGAAAAGGGACATGCTGTAGACACCATAAGAACTACATTGAGCTGTAGTTGTTCTGGTGACATTAATGCCCCATAAATGCTGTAAACATCAAAGAGAGAATTGACATCAGCCTGACATTTCAGAATTACCATGAAATTCACAGGGTTTCTCACTAAAGTGAGAATTCAAAGTGAATTTAAAATTTAAGATCAAAATAGCCGAACTGGAAAAATTATTGAGGTTGGCTATGCTTTCAGCTCAGCTACTCTGGCCTTAAATTTGAAATTCACTTTGAATTCTCACCTTAGTAAATAAGCCTGTAAGTGTTGAATGTATTTACATAACTCCCCACACCGGGGTTTATGGGATCTAGTTGGGATAGGCAGGTCACTATGGATCACTAGGGATCAGAGATGAGGGCAGGAAAACCTGTTAAAGGGTCTGGCTTGTTCAATGAGTCTGTGTGCCAGCCTGGTGTGCCACAGTCATGGCAGACGCGTTTACACAGCCTGGTACAAGCTAACCTAATAACGCGCCTAGGCTGTGCTTTATTGGGTCCTTTTCCTGGTGTTCCACTGAACAGTTGGGTCATTTTCCTGGTGTTCCACTAAACAGTTGGGTCATTTTCCTGGTGTTCCACTGAACAGTTGGGTCATTTTCCTGGTGTTCCACTAAACAGTTGGGTCATTTTCCAGGTGTTCCACTGAACAGTTGGGTCATTTTCCTGGTGTTAAAGCCTGTTAAAGAGTCTGGCTTGTTCAATGAGTCTGTGTGCCAGCCTGGTGTGCCACAGTCATGGCAGACACGTTTAGACAGCCTGGTACAAGCTAACCTAATAACGCGCCTAGGCTGTGCTTTATTGGGTCATTTTCCTGGTGTTCCACTGAACAGTTGGGTCATTTTCCTGGTGTTCCACTGAACAGTTGGGTCATTTTCCTGGTGTTCCACTAAACAGTTGGGTCATTTTCCAGGTGTTCCACTAAACAGTTGGGTAATTTTCCTGGTGTTCCACTAAACAGTTGGGTCATTTTCCTGGTGTTCCACTGAACAGTTGGGTCATTTTTCCATATGTTCCACTGAACAGTTGGGTCATTTTCCTGGTGTTAAAGCCTGTTAAAGAGTCTGGCTTGTTCAATGAGTCTGTGTGCCAGCCTGGTGTGCTTCAGTCATGGCAGACGCGTTTAGACAGCCTGGTATGAGCTAACCTAATAACGCGCCTAGGCTGTGCTTTATTGGGTCCTTTTCCTGGTGTTCCACTGAACAGTTGGGTAATTTTCCAGGTGTTCCACTGAACAGTTGGGTCATTTTCCAGGTGTTCCACTGAGACAGTTGTGAAGTATGTATTTGGGTGGGCTTGAATTTTGACAAGGACTAAAAGAAAGACAGGTGAAAATGGACACAGGAGAATGAAAGGTTGGAAAAAATAGAGATTTATTAAGAGATAGTGGGAAAAACCAGTGGGAAAAAGGCATGGGGATATATATATTGCTTCGGTTCACCATAAATTCTTGTTAATATCATTATTGAATTATTAATCTATTATTCTCCTGAATCATCTTAAGGTGGCATTAAACATCTATTATATATATATATATAGTTCAAATCTTCTGTTAACATATAGATCTTCTTTCAATCTATTCAAGGGTAAATCAATTTTATTATTTTTCACCAATTTTTTGGGGTGTGCACCTTGCCATTTAGTATATTTTCTGCATTTATATTGCTGCATCAGCTGAGAATACTGCCTCGGAAGGTAATGCTGAAATTCCATTTGGATGCAAAATCTACTACAGATCATATAGTGTGTTTGCTTATAATAAATAAGTTGGAATAAATGTATTCACAGGAAAGATTGCTAGTATATTTTGGATGTTACAGTTTTATAGAAATATAGAATATTTTGCTTGTTTTTTTAGGAAAGACTTTATGCAGCTCTTAAGCAAATGTTGTTTCTGTAAAGAGACACTGTAAGCACAAAAACCACAACATCTTAAAGTGCATAGACATTGTCCCCTGCAATTTAGTGGCTTTAAATGACCACTCTAGGCACCCAGACCACTTCAGCTTAATGAAGTGGTCTGGGTGCCTGGTCCAGCTAGGGTTAACCCATTTTTTAATAAACATAGCAGTTTCAGAGAAACTGCTATGTTTATGAATAGGTTAAGCCTTCCCCCATTCCCTCTAGTGGCTGTCTCATTGACAGCCACTAGAGGCGCTTGCGTGCTTCTCACTGTGATTTTCACAGTGAGAGCATGCCAGCGTCCATAGGAAAGCATTATGAATGTTTTCCTATGTGACCGGCTGAATGCGCGCGCAACTCTTGCCGCGCGTGCGCATTCAGCCGACGGGGCGGAACGGAGGAGGAGAGAAGGAGGAGAGCTCTCCGCCCAGCGCTGGAAAAAGGTAAGTTTAAACCCCTTTCACCTTTCCAGAGCCGGGCGGGAGGGGGACCCTGAGGGTGGGGGCACCCTCAGGGCACTATAGTGCCAGGAAAACGAGTATGTTTTCCTGGCACTATAGTGGTCCTTTAAATCAGACAACCAATAGATCAGATCAGAAGCTGCTAGAGGCACCTCATCCTTACTTTCAATTATAGAAAGTCTTTTTGTTCAGTGTTGCTCGGCCCTGTGAATTCCGGATTTAATGTGATGATCTCAGAAGAAGAGAAAAGGCAGTAGCGCCAAGACTGTGATTCCACCGGATAAAAGGTGAGTTTAACTTTTTTTCAAAAGTGGGAGCCCAGTGATATATAAACATGCGTAGGGACTCTAACATTAACATAGAAACATGGAATGTGACGGCAGATAAGAACCATTCGGCCCATCTAGTCTGCCCATTTTCTAAATACTTTCATTAGTCCCTAGCCTTATCTTATAGTTAGGATAACCTTATGCCTATCCCACGCATGCTTAAACTCCTTTACTGTGTTAACCTCTACCACTTCAGCTAGAAGGCTATTCCATGCATCCACTACCCTCTCAGTAATGTAATACTTCCTGATATTATTTTTAAACCTATGTCCCTCTAATTTAAGACTATGTCCTCTTGTTGTGGTAGTTTTTCTTCTTTTAAATATAGTCTCCTCCTTTACTGTGTTGATTCCCTTTATATATTTAAATGTTTCTATCATATCCCCCGTCTCATCTTTCCTCCAAGCTATACATGTTAAGATCCTTTAACCTTTCCTGGTAAGTTTTACCCTGCAATCCATGAACCAGTTTAGTAGCCCTTCTCTGAACCCTCTCTAAGGTATCAATATCCTTCTGAAGATACGGTCTCCAGTACTGTGTACAATACTCCAAGTGAGGTCTCACCAGTGTTCTGTACAATGGCATGTAAAAAAAAAACCTTTATTTATTGACAATGTTAGTGTCCCTTTAACTGTGTAAAATTTTAACTATTTCTCTTTTCTATAAAGTAGTCTTTTCTCATGTTGCCACTTAGTCCATCATCCTCCAACTAAATTGTTCCTTCTTGTTCTTGTCTTCCTTTTTTATTGAAGTACTTCCTTTCTAAAAGTGGCACTGTTACCCGATCCCCTCATAGACTCTTTATGAAACATTGATATTGACTGTGTTGGAATTTCACACTGAAATTCCAACCCAGTGGAGATATACTGAGACAATGGGTTCTAGACACGGGTGGAGATACCACAATCTAGAAATGTCACTTCCCACCAGTAATGGCTGCAGGGAATTGGCTTTAGCTATGGAGGATCAAACGCTCCCGCGGGATCCTCCAATGCTATACTCTTGCACATGTGCGATAGTTCATCAGTGATGCCAACTCGTGATGTCAACTCCTGACACTGCTGAAGTGGCTTCCTGGGAAATTATGATAGGATCATGAGAAAAATAAGTAGATTGCATAAAGAGCTGAAAAAATTAATAATTGGTTATTATGTGGCTCCCATTACATGTTCCAATCAGCAGAGGTAATTTGATTTTATATACACTTCTTGCATGCTTTTATACAAAACCATATACAAGAATAGTAATTACAAAAACAAATTTTAAAAAATAGCATCAGAATAGAATGGTGTCAAATCATTCTTAAATAGAGTAGTGATGCTATCTAAAAATAATTAATTCTTCATACGGCAAAGATCTAATTAAAAAAGGAAAGCATTATAAAATCTACATACATTATTGTGCTATTCATATTCACTCACAATTGGTGTAAAAGATTGTTAAAGGAGCTGTATTTCTGATTAAACCAAATTACCACTATTTATGTTGCTGCTTACTATTAAAAACTTTAAAAAAATAAAAAGTAAGCACAAAGGTATTTTATTGAAATAACTTTATTTAGCCACAAATTAACAAGAGATGTCATGGAAGAAGTCACCAGTCAAAGGCATGATACACGATACAAATAACGTTGCTTAAGGAATGGGTGTTGAAAGGAGTGCTGTGTTCTCAGGGTCCTTCTGGGATTAAGATGTTTAAAGGTAGACCGTGTGCTTGCTAAATGCAGCCTTGGATCATGGATTAAAACTCAAAATATTTATACAAAAATCTACAAATTAAAGCTATTCAATACTGGAATATATTCAGAGTCTGCTGTGTGCCACATCTTATACTATAAATAAGACACATTACATAAACAAATTTAAAAAAAGTGTATCTTTCAAAAGATTCCTTAGTTGGTCTTCTCATAATTATTTCAGAAGATCAGTCTCCTGGAGGATATATGATCTCGGAATAGTGACCTTTTTTATTATGTGAATTGAATTGCCTGCTGTTTTAGAAGTAAATGCAAGGCTGGATTACCTATAGCAGGCATAGGAAACCTTCGGCACTCAAGATGTTTTGGACTACACCTCCCATGATGCTATGCTAGCATTATGGGTGTAGGAGCATTAAGGGGGATGTAGTCCACAACATCTGGAGTGCCGAAGGTTGCCTACCCCTGACCTATGGTAAGTGTAGGACCTAAACAGGTCCACCTTAGTCTCATCCAGACCTTACCTATAAAAACTTTACTGTTATTTTTTTTTTTTTTTTACTGGAGGACCACTTAAAGGGACACTATATAGTCACAGAACAACTACAGCTTAATGTAGTTGTTCTGGTGGGTATAATCATTGCCTTCAGGCATTCTAATGCAAACACTGCCTTTTCATAGAAAAGGAAGTGTTTACATTGCCCCCTTGGGACACCTCCAAGCGACCACTCCTTAGATGGACACTGGAGATGCTTCCTGGAGGAGTTTTGGATAGTAGGCAAAACTACCGTTCAGCGTCTCCACACTCTGCATGGGGATGCTGAATTTTCCTCATGGAGATGCATTGATTCAATGCATCTCTATGAGGAGGTGCTGACTGGCTAAAACAGCATTTGGCCCTGCCCCCTTGTCGATTTCAGAGAATCCAATGCATTCCCTGTAGGAAATCATTGAATTGGCAAAAAATCTGCAAATCTGATGATGTCACCAAGGAGGCAGATCGGGGGCGAGGCCAGCGTCTGCAGACCCACGCGGCACTGGAAATAAGATGAGTTTTAACCTTTTCTAAGGGGGTCAAGCAACCTGGATGGTGAGTTAAACACTTTAGGGTCAGGAATACCTGTTTGTGTTCCTGACCCTATAGTGTTCTTTCAAGGCACCCAGACCACTTCATCTCAATGATGTGGTCAAGGTGCATTAGACCTTTAGTTTTAACCCTGCAATGTAAAAGGTTGCAGCTTTCTAAAACCCCAAATGGTTCCATTGCAGGCTTAACACATATGTAGCGGCTGTCTTCCTGAAGTCACAAAAGGCGCGTCCACATTTTGGAACCAAGTTAGTGCTGCTCCTAGGGTAGCATTTCATTAGCACAGTGCATGCTCACTAGCCTCCCAATGCTTTTCTACAGGGAGAATCATTGGATTGGATGAGACCACCTAGATTGATGACCTCAGCAGATGTAGGAGCATCAGCGAGGAGAGCAGCGAGGCAAGGGCTAAAAGTTAAGTAATTACTTTTTTACTTAAGGCACGTGGGGGACGCCTAAGAAGTTTGTAGGAGACTATAACATTATTAATACACATTTACATTCCTAACACTATAGTGTTCCTTTAACTTTAATTAATTTTAGGATTTCTTAATCCCACGAGAAACAACATATATTTTTTTTCGTTATATGAGGAGAGCCTAAAACAGGATTTCAGTTTCTACCCTGAATTCCCGCCTCTCCACAAAAAACAAACAAAAAAAATCTCATGATTTCTCAGGATTAAACTTGTTTCACAGACTTGGGCCTTTAAATTATTTATAATTTAGACACAAATAAGAACAGAATCTTTAAACACGTTTGTTTCCTGTATGTTCATTCTGACACCCTTTTAAAGTTTTCAGAATTACTTCATTATTCAAAGAAAATCGTGAAATTTGCTAATATGAAGGAAACATTTAAAGGTGTGCAATGGGCATACTTTGTATTGAACAAAAAATGTCCAAAGCTGATAGATAAAGCAAGAGGTAAAAGATATCCTGAGAAGGTATTTTTTTTTTGCAGTTTAGTAAAAACTCTGCTATTGTTAGATAACTTTTGCCGTTTAAGGTACAGACACTTGATGGAAATTAAATACAATGTTTCAATCAATTTGGAAAATCTAACTAGAACAATGAAGAACTAATCAGTAGAAAATCTACTCGCTGGATTCTAGTTTTAAAGGTGCTTGATAGTGCGTACTGAAATATTTAGCCTCATTATATAGTACACCAGATGCATTTGAAAGGGAACAAAATGCACACACTATTATTGACTTTCACATTTGTTATAAAATGGGTTAAATCACTTGTTCTTTAACAAAGACTGCATTTTCTAAGAACACTGTCTAATTTTTCTAGCAAATGAAAGCGCTCTCATTTATCCTAAAATATACAGCAGGAGGGTTGGCATGACAGGAAGATGATCCCAACGTAGCTGTCAGACATGGTAACTAGTCCAGGAGAGCCTCTGCATCACGCCCTCATGTATATTCTTGTACAGACCACGTCATCAGCTCCAAAGGTCTAAAATAAAAAAAAAATTATAAAAATGAGTAAAACTAAATGTAAACATCAAAAAAACTTATATACAAGTGTTACTCTGATTATCCTTAACAACTTAATTTCATTAAAAAAAGCAATTAACTATAGTGTTAAAAAATTAAAAAAATGTACCCTGGATCTGACATAGTGGTTTTTGTTAGGAAAATAGTAGTTTTGTTTTCCATTGCCTAAACTATGAACTCTTGAGGGACTTAGATTTGATTTCATCTGTACAATAACTTATTGAATGAGTTACTTAAAAGATTCATGTGAGCTGAAGGACAACAGGTAAACAGGGCTGTATTTTCAATTAGAAAGATTAAATAGATAGATTCACACACACTCAGAAAAAAAAATATATACAAAATATATGAAAAATAGGTATACCACCTATTGTAGATGTAAATATGGTGATTACATCTGAAAGACAAATGGAACATACATAGTGCTTTCCATATAAGTTAAAATAAACTATAATATTTGAGGATTAAACTCACAAAGGTGGAGCCTCATAGGCTCTATGTGCATCACCCTTGGGTGCCTATTCAGGCTCTCGATAAATTCCTGTTTGAAGAACTCGAGGTCCACAGTAGTAGATGTAGATACAAGTTTATTAAATAATAATGATAAAATAATAAAAGAAAATATAGATATCTAGGGACAAGGCAGGTATAATAATAGAATATAATACAGTATTGCACCGCAATTATGGCCAAAGAGTAAAAGCAGTAGAACACTACAATACATAAACAATAAAATAATACCGCCAGAGAAAGTCCCAATAGAGAAGTCCAGTAAAGTGCAAACGCGTTTCAGCCCTTGATAGGGCCTTCCTCAGTGCTAAATTCCTGGAGAAAACTTCAGGGCTTAAATAGCCCCCTTGATATGTTCAACTGGGTCCAGCTGTGGTTTCAAAATACGGGGATTATACCTTCTTTCACACTCACTTATATTGTCTATACTTAAGGTTGGAAGCGCCTACACAACTATATACTTTTTGTATATCCTGTTTTGTTATCTTATTATCCCTTAAAGTTGTGGGCTGCTCATATTTAAATTAATTTTTGATCCACCTATTGAGATCTATTTATAATGGAGGTATTTGAAGCTAGGGAAAATTGGCAAAATATGGTTGCCATCAAATTTGATAATACACAAGGCCCTATCATTCAATCTGAAGAAAATTTAGATTTTGCCTGTAAAAAGCTTGAAAAATTGTTAATTATAGAGACTAAAACTAAATGGGATATCTTCACCCTAGAACGTTACTTGGAGCAAAAAATTAGCCCAAGAGGTCTACGCTTTTTTAAAACGCCAACGTTTGATAGGGAAGATGAGGATTTTATGGAGATTTGGAACTCCGCTTTGGAGTCCTTTTCAGCTAGGATGATATCCATTATTGTACAGCAAAAAAAGCGCAATTTAATGCAGTTGGATATCCAGATTAATAATATTAAAGAACAACTTAAACCGGTAGTTAATTGCACAGAAATTGATAATGCATTAAGAATGGTGAAAAATAATGTGGAAAAAGTGGAGGAAAACACATTAATTATTAAAAAGAGGAAGCTCCAAAGGGACCAGAATGATTACGCTTTAAATCAAGTTAGATCCTTTTCCCGGAATCATCATTCTCATCATCAGGATTATTCTCACCGTAATAAGTTTAATCAATTTTCTAATAATTTGGATCGTAGGTTCTCAGGTATGCCTAAAGGGAAAACTCGTAATGGTGCATCAACTATGTCTAGAAAATTGAGAGAACCTATTCATCCTCCTTATCAATATCAGAATAAGAAGTTGTCTGCTCCGGTTTCTTCGCCAGGTTGGCAGAGGAGCAGAATTAGAAATGGTTCTAGAGCTAATTCTGCTTTTTCACCGGGTTGGCAGGAGAGTAGAAATAGAAATGGTTCTAGAACCAATTTCGCTCAACTACCACCCAGGTTTTCTCAGACTAATAGGTATAGAATTTTGTCAGAGGATTCCACAGGAGATAAACTTCAAGAGAATCCTTCATCTTTCCCTTCATCCACTGTTCCTTTTTTAGGGTCACATCCCCCACAAAGAACCGAGCGACTAATGAGAAAGAGAAATTGGGTTCAAGAAGAAGGGGAATTAGAAGTGGAAGACCCATTAAAAGAAAGGAAGAGAGGAAAGACCAACACTTAGGTGTAGTTAACTTATCAAATAAAACCCTTACTGAAGATCAACTGAGAGTGTTAAGTAAGGGATTAAAATTTGCCCCTACGTGTTTTAATGATGCTTTTAATTCTTTTATTGATTTACAGAAGTTTAATCGTAAATTATGTTTAAAAAAGTTTTTTTTAAAACATCATCAAAAAATTTTTTTGCATTGTAAAGAAAACCATGATGTGAATGATGATATGGTACACACTAAATTAAAGAATAAGTCTAAATTTTTCCCCAAATATCACTCTAGTGGGGCTATGCAAGTTTTCGAAAGACTAGTTGTAGAAGATATTAAGAAAATTCCTAAAAATAAAAGATGTGAAAATAACCTTAAACCAACAGAAAGAAGAGCCCTTTTAGAACTAAGTAAAGAGGAACAGATTATTATAAAACCCGCTGATAAAGGGGGGGCTGTGGTGATTCAAAATAGGGATGATTACATAAAGGAGATTTATAGACAATTGGGGGATTCGAACACCTATTCAAAGTTGTCAGGGAATCCTATGGAGTCTATTAAGAATAAATATTTGAAATTAATAGAAAAAGGACGGACACTTAAGATTTTAAATAAGGATGAATATGATTATTTAAATGTGAAAGTTTCAAAAATCCCCGTGTTCAAAACCCTCCCCAAAATTCATAAAAATAATACAAATCCACCAGGTAGACCGATAGTGGCTGGGGTCAATTCACTATTGAGTCGGCTGTCTGAATATATAGATAGACTGCTGCAACCAGTAGTCACTTCACGACCTACTTATCTTAAGGACTCATCCCATCTCATTAGAGAATTACAAAATATAACATGGGAAGAAGGTTACATATTGGTAACCTGCGATGTCAATAGTTTGTACACTATTATTCAGCACGATTTAGGGTGTGATTCTGTTAGATATTTTTTATCAGACAGTTTAGTTCCAGAAATTCAAAGATATTTCATTGTAGAGGGTATTCAACTTATTTTACAGAATAATTTTTTTTGGTTTGAAGGTTCTTATTTTTTACAACTGATTGGGACTGCGATGGGGACCAAGTTCGCACCAGGCTACGCTAATTTGTTTATGTCCTTCTGGGAGGAATCTTTCCTCTCAGGGGATGTATCCTGGAGTGCGGACTTGGTCCTCTATCGCAGGTATATAGATGATATTTTTTTTATTTGGAAGGGGGGAGAACAGCACCTTACTTCATTTCTTCAATTTTTAAATGACAATTCTAGGAATATTACCCTCTCTAGTGAATATAGTATTTCCCATGTTAATTTTTTAGATTTAGTTATTTATATAGAGGATTCTTGTATTAAAACGAAAACGTTTTTAAAACCGGTTGATGTCAATAGTTATATTGACACAACCAGTTGTCACCATGCTCCTTGGATTAATAACATGCCAAAAGGACAGTACATACGAATGTTGAGGAATTGTACTGATCCTCATCAATTTGATATCCAAGCTGATACACTAACTTCCTTTTTTAAAGAAAAACATTATGACCCTATAGTTTTAGAAGAACAGGTTTATCAGGTTAAAAAAATGAAGAGAACTGAGGTACTCAAATATAAACCAAAGAAAGATACAGGAATAGGGGAGAAAGAATGTGTACCTCTGATTCTGGATTATAATGTTAATTCCAAACAAATCAAACATATAATCAATAAACATTGGCATGTTCTGAAAACAGATGAGGACCTTAAGGATATTATAAGTGATAAGCCGAAGGTTATCTTTAAAGGTGCTAAAAATATTAAAGATCATTTAGTTAAAAGTTTTATAAATTGTAAACAGGGAGACAAGAACGTTTTTAATCAAAAAGCAGGTTTTTATCCGTGTAAAATGTGTTTGCTGTGTAAAAACACTACCTTTAAGAAAGATACACAAATTACGTTTAAATCTAATGTCACAGGAACCTGCTTTAAGATACGTGATATCGTTACATGTCATTCTACTAATGTGGTGTATCTCCTCTGGTGTCCCTGTGGGCTCCAGTATGTGGGTATGACTACTAGAAGTCTGAAAACCCGCATTATGGAGCACATGGGAAACATACGGAGGAGATACACCAAACACAGTGTATCAGCACATTTTTTAGAACATCATAATGGTGACGCTTCTCTTTTAAGTTTTATGGTGATTGGGAAAAAACTGATAAATTGGAGAGGAGAGGATAATGTCCGAGAGTTAAGTAAATTAGAGGGTAAATGGATTTTTACCTTGGACACTATGTGCCCTAAAGGTCTTAATATAGATTTCGAATTAGTCCATTTTTTATAAATTTTATAATATTTTTATATTTATATATTTAACAATATATGTTATTTATATATATTTATTTTTTATAGTTTTTATTGGATTTTCCTTTTTGGAAATTTTTTTCCCTCTTTAATATATTATCTATTATGCCCTGTGTTTTGAGAATATTTTTGTACCTATTTACTAATTCACTATTTGTTATTTTCTTTATTTTTATACTATGTTGGATTAAGTTTGTTTGGGCATATGCCCTTTTCCAATATGGACATTTTTGGGATTATTTCCACAATGCTCGAGTGTGGAACGCATGGTGGAACGCAAAAATATCATGTGACCGCATCTAAACCGGAAGTCACATGCGTTTTGCCAAAATCGGAAGTGACATGATCGGCGGTATTTTGAAACCACAGCTGGACCCAGTTGAACATATCAAGGGGGCTATTTAAGCCCTGAAGTTTTCTCCAGGAATTTAGCACTGAGGAAGGCCCTATCAAGGGCTGAAACGCGTTTGCACTTTACTGGACTTCTCTATTGGGACTTTCTCTGGCGGTATTATTTTATTGTTTATGTATTGTAGTGTTCCACTGCTTTTACTCTTTGGCCATAATTGCGGTGCAATACTGTATTATATTCTATTATTATACCTGCCTTGTCCCTAGATATCTATATTTTCTTTTATTATTTTATCATTATTATTTAATAAATTTGTATCTACATCTACTACTGTGGACCTCGAGTTCTTCAAACAGGAATTTATCGAGAGCCTGAATAGGCACCCAAGGGTGATGCACATAGAGCCTATGAGGCTCCACCTTTGTGAGTTTAATCCTCAAATATTATAGTTTGTTTATTTTAACTTATATGGAAAGCACTATGTATGTTCCATTTGTCTTTCAGATGTAATCACCATATTTACATCTACAATAGGTGGTATACCTATTTTTCATATATTTTGTATATATATTTTTTTCTGAGTGTGTGTGAATCTATCTATTTAATCTTTCTACTTTGTCTTTAGGTGTTAAGGGATTACACCTTCTTTCACACTCACTTATATTGTCTATACTTAAGGTTGGAAGCGCCTACACAACTATATACTTTTTGTATATCCTGTTTTGTATTTTCAATTAGGCACCTGTCCTTTAGGTCCTTTTACATCACTTATCATGTGCCTTCTTGGCATTTAGGTGAGCTGGTGAGGGATGATAAGTACCAAGAGCCTTGGCCAGTGTACCAGTGTCTTCTGTAGTCCAGTCAGCCTTACTAGTAGAGCTGTAGAATCAGTTATAGTTAGTGTTAAACTCAGTGATGTCCCAGCACCTCCAGTGTTTGTGTGTGAGGCTGGACAGGAAGTGAAAGGGATCACTTCCCATCTGCCCACTAACAGCCTCTCACACAGGAAATGTTTAGGAACCGTTCCTGTGTTCTACTATCTATGGTAGGAGGGTGAGTACTTTGCAAATAACCCTTCAAACTCCACAAACCTGCACCATAAGCATGCATTTTTCCTTAACACTAAATTTAACTCCTCCAAAAATCTAAACAAACTCTTTCTTTAATTCCATGTTTAAGGACTCAAAGCCTAAACCTGAAGCAAAATCCTGTGAAGAAACCACACACTTAGTTTGTTAACTTTTCTTTTTCTCACTGGCTAGATAAAACTACCGAACACCGACCACCGCCTTGGCTTTTTAACTACAAAGAAAAAATGCAGATTAAGTGCTTTTCCTGTGTGGCCGCCGTTCGTGTTGGAGAAAACGTCGACCATCTTGTTCGCATGAAAAGAAGCAGCGAGATTTGGTCATGGAGTGTCAGGAACTTAAATCGGACACTCAACTTCCCAAATGCCGGTCAATTTAATGAACGCCTGCTTCTTTTTACTGACCAATCAGGTGAGAACTATTCGGTAGTTTTGTTCACACGAATTAGGGGAGCAAACGCTACCTATGAGCCGGGGGAACAGTTTGTGAATTAGTTTGGCTTTTAGACTTCCCAAAATGGACCGACTGCTACCTCTGAAACTGTGGAACTGTTTTGGGCATAGGATCTTGTGTGCGGTCGGTCAATTTATGACCTCCATGGAAATCCTGAATCCCTAAACTGACCTGGGTGATTTTTGGATATGTTGGTCCCCCAGATCAGGGCTATCAAGGGATCGCTATGGAACTGTTCACCGGATCAGAACTGTGCCATGATCTGGTGAATCTTTGATCGGGCTTTGCTCAGTCCCACAACCACCAATGACGGCGCTACTTGCAGGGGATATCCGGGAGGTGATGAGGCATCCAGGGATGCCTAGGACTTGAAAGCACTCCCCTCCTCATGACCCCAGGAACCATGTTTCCTTGAATGGAACTAACCAACCACATGCCTGCATCTCTGATCTGGATCAGATGACCATGACCTGGTCAAACTGAGTGTTGTACCCTGGGCTAGGAACCTCCAAGCGTTTTTTGAATTAAGTACGTCTGAGGTTGACGTTCAAAGCTATCTGGGGATATACAATGTTTTTGAGTTACATTTTGGAAGGGAAGACTTTTGGGGTTTGAATTCCCTGGTTTTCCCTGTCTGGAGAGGGTACAGCAATGTGGAAACCTTATTAACTTGGAACTGAACTAATGGGAGGGAACTTGTTCTATTGTTTTATTAATCACCCCATGCAGATTTAATATACATTCTACTCTGTATCAATATGTGTGAGTTTGTTATATAAAGTACACTTTCAAATACTACTCTGTGAACAAACCTGAGGTTTAACAATCATGGCAAGTACTCTAGCCTATGGGAAAAAGACATGTAACCAGTGAATAACCCCATCAATAAAACAGGTTAATACCTCTATAACTTACTGCAAACATATTATACATTAGTTCTACTTGGCTTGCTTCACAGCCTCGACAAATTGCATTTTAGCTTGTAATATGTCTAATAATTTATTTTTATGGCCACCGTAAACAAAGCTGAATTATTTGTTGCATTGCTACCATGAACATGATACATGATTTTATGAAAAATATAATCCTCAAAATAAAAAGCCCCAGTTAAGTAGGAAATAATAATTATAATAATATGATAATAACAAAAGAGTCCATTTTAACCATCATTGCAATTATCGAGTGTCCTGGTTTACAATATAATTGGTGCTTGGCCTAAGAAATGTGTTGGAGAGGAGTGGCTTTGGGGACAGATGAGAGAACTAACAGTGATTAGTGTGATCGGGGTAAAAAAAGGATAAAGGCAATTTTTGAAAAGAAAACCTTTTTTTTTTTACCACAGTTTTAATGAGCACATTACAATGACCTCTTTGTATGTAAATAATGTTAATGAGTGTTTGGTGGTCATTAAACAAAGCCTTCCTTGTGTTAATGCAATGTTCTTGTTGACCTGACTGTCTGGCCATTTATCCAATAAATACTAATGAGAAAATGGAATATCTTGAGGTTCAGCTGCATACATGTGATTTAATGATCTATCTGCCATAAGCATTCATTAAGGCGTAATACAGCAATGTGTTCTGTTGCATTAGCTTTAGTGATACGCAAGTCCACATAAATATTATACAATGTCCTGAACTGATCCCTTTATAAGCTACATCGATACAACAATGCGGGAGAGGGGCTAGAGGGGAAGGAAACCTGTTGGCAAATGTATCTTGCTGAAGAGAACACTACCCATGGCTGCCATCACCTCTTAATGGTCATTCCTGCTGAATGGCATTATTGTGAAGGCTTATGTTGCCAAATATTTTAGTCCCAGTGGGTAAGATGTTTGGGGAAAAGAACAGAAGAGTTTTTAAATGTACTCATGGGACCCAGAAGAGCAACCAAGAACTTGAGAAAGTCGACCACCTCCCTAAAATGAGCCTCTTTCTTTACCGTCCTATGGCTTGCATTGGCCAGACATTTTTACGGCCTAGCTAGCAGCAGAGGACTTCGACTTTGAATTCCTATATATATATATATATTGTACTGTATGCAGCCCTGATTTATATTTATATAAGTATAGCAATTCCGTACATGTATATCTTTGTCGGGGGGCAATGTGTAAGGTTGCATTAAAGATGTGCCCTAATGCCTCTTTACTTGCTTTCCATATATGCAAGCCAGCGTTGCTCTTTGATGCTTTTCCTAACCCTCCAGTAACCCTAATCCTAATGCTATCCTTAACTTTGCAGTTTAGAAGAGTCACGCCAGGTTGATTGATCTTCCTGGGAGCCATGTGCATCAACTGACATTCCTGTGATTGGCTCCCAGGGCAATTGGTCAGCCTGTCAGGTACTGCTGTTGGATTGCCTCATTGTGACATAGTCTACTCTAGTTAGTAGCTAATTGACAGCTGATCCCAACATGCATTGCAGTAGCCAGGGATCAGCTGTCAATCATGCCATAGGACAACTGTGTGGCTGTTACAGCATTCCTATGGCTTTGATAGTCTCTAGAGGCTGTTTCTAGACAGCCTTAGTAGTGAGACTGTCCAGTAACAGCATGTACAAGCCACCTCCGCTAAGTCTGCTTACTCGCCAGTATCAGGGACCCTGGAGCACTTCAGACCCAGTCGTCAATGCTTGATTTGCAGCTCTCTGCTTTGAGGCATGTATCATTCCCTCTGCCTATTGCTCTTCAGTTTTGTTGCCAGGCAGGTATCCACACCTCTGCCTCCACTGTAATTAGCCTTTGTAAGGGCACTCGCAGCTCTCATACCTAGCTCTTTTTGAATTGTCCCTGCAGGGACCATGCAGCCGGCCAACAGGTCTGAAAACTCTGTTACTGGGATCCCTGAACAAACCAGACAGGACACACAGTTCCAAATGGAACTAACACACTTAGTTTTATTGAAAGCAACACATCTATTTATACACCCACTTCCTCATTTACCTACAATAGGGTTAAGGTGGTACACATAGTTCCCCTCCAGGTCCTCCACTGTAACCCCCTCGCAAACAACACAGTGAGCCCAAGTCAGCCAATAACAGTATTGACATGGGCTGTAACCAATTACATTACAAAGTCTAATTACATTAGTGTGAATGCAGTACAGTGTTTACAAGTCAGGGTTGGAACACACAATAACAAGGGCAGAGGACCACATGGGAGATTTAGGAGGGTTGCATGGCAGCCACATTAAAACTGGTCAAGACATGTCCCAGGAAAAATGGGACAACATCCTGCTAGGGAAAATAATGAGACCACAGAACGGGGAAATAAATAACTAACAAACAAATCCATTATACACACCCTGCACCTATAATGGGCACAAGGTGACTAAAACATAAGGTCAATCTGGATACCTACATAAGTGCCTGTCTTTTGTCCCTAGTGATGATGACTACTGTCACATATCTCCCCCCCTCAAAAGTAGACTAACCAGGTACCAGACCTCCAATCAACAAAGTTCCACATAGTTTCTAATTTTGTCCAGGTTGAGCACATGAAGCCCTCATATCCGATCAGTCTGTTGAAGTCTGTTTGGGCAGACCAGACTGGGTATTCCCGGTTACCCTGTGCCCCTCAATAAGATGAAGTGGTCTGAGTTCCTATAAAGTCCCTTTAATATAGTGTGTGAATATATATGCAGTGTTGTGTGTATTGTTCCTCTTAAATGTCCCCCTTTACACTGTCTTAGTTACTCTATAGTAGTGTGTGAACAGTATTGGATCATCTACACCAACCAACAGTATCCACAAGTACAAATAACCTCACTCCCCTCCCTGTTTCCTGATGACACTCTCTCAGTAACAAACAAACTACTTAAGTTCTTTCTGACCCCCCTGTACCAAGAGATACAACAGTGGATATTATTGCATGTCTACCTAGCACACGACTTACATTACCCACTAACCTCGACAGACTCCTTGAGATTCCTAAAAAGTGAGGAAGAGGGTGATTTGTTTGATTGTTTTTGAGATTATTCTCAGATGAAAGAATTCTAGGGAAAATTATGAACTTATCGTGCAGTTAGACTTCTCAGCTCCACTGTCCTTAGAGTTGTCCATTTTTGGTATTCTTGGCACGACTCTAGGATAGTCCGTTCCTAGAGTTCTCACATTCTTTATTTTTGTTGTAATGCAATAACTGTCTCTCCCCAAGTTAAAAGGGTAACCCATCTGTGGTGTGCCCACTGTGCCTAGAAGGGTATCAGCTACACTTTACTGATGAAGCCCAAAAAGGCTGAAACGATCGTCTGAGTTTGCTGTATCTCTTTTGCAGAGAGAACTTGCTGGCATTTCTTTTCTGGACTGCCCTTTCGGGAGGGATCAGTCTGAAATGCTTTGGAATATGTTCTTGTAACGAGAATATACCCCTACACGCAGGATCCAGCTAAACAGAAGCCAATACAGAGGAGAGATACGTCTACCGGACCTTAGAATGGCCGGACTCGACGTATATGAGAGGAGACAGAGCCAGGAACAAACCGAGGTCAAGGGCACAGAGAGACAGCGTAAACTAGGACAAGCCGGGGTCTGGTACACGGAAAACAGCAAGCCGGCAAACAGTACAGATAAGGATAAAGCGAAAACGAAGTCAGAATACGAAGCCAAAGTCAATACGAGAAAACACAACTGAACACCACAAGCGCTAAAGGGAACTGAAACAGAAACCACGATAGGGCAACGAGCTAAGGGAAAAAGGTAAGTTTAAATAGCTTTTAAACGAAAGTGATTGGCTCCTGTCACTTCCACACCCCCAAAAGGTAATTGTATAGGGAGTGTGGTATGACAGGAGCCAATGGGAGCCTTTTGGCAATTAGGCTCCCACTGTCTCTTTAAGAGCGCGCCCGAGACTCGCGGCGCGCTCTTAGTTTCAGGCGGGACACATGACCGCTTCACGCGGTCACTGCCCGCCTTCCATCTAAAGCAGTCGGATGAGCCGCGCGCGGCTCGTGCAGCCGCAGGACCGCGCGTGGCTTGAAGAGAGGACCGCGACCGGCCCCCAGTTAAGGTAAGTAACACTACAGTACCCCCCCCTGAGGACACGCCCTCCGGGCGGGTAGGACCAGGCCTGGCAGGAAAACGAGAATGGAAAGAGCGCACAAGACGGGGAGCATGAACAGCATCAGCCGAAATCCAACTGCGCTCCTCAGGCCCATAACCCTTCCAATGTACCAAGTACTGAAGTCGACCCCTAAGGAAATGAGAGTCAGAATACAAAGCCAAGGTCAATACGAGAAAACACAACTGAACACCACAAGCGCTAAAGGGAACTGAAACAGAAACCAAGATAGGGCAACGAGCTAAGGGAAAAAGGTAAGTTTAAATAGCTTTTAAACGAAAGTGATTGGCTCCTGTCACTTCCACACCCCCAAAAGGTAATTGTATAGGGAGTGTGGTATGACAGAAGCCAATGGGAGCCTTTTGGCAATTAGGCTCCCACTGTCTCTTTAAGAGCGCGCCCGAGACTCGCGGCGCTCTTAGTTTCAGGCGGGACACGTGACCGCTTCACGCGGTCACTGCCCGCCTTCCATCTAAAGCAGTCGGATGAGCCGCGCGCGGCTCGTGCAGCCGCAGGACCGCGCGTGGCTTGAAGAGAGGACCGCGACCGGCCCCCGGTTAAGGTAAGTAACGCTACAGTTCTCTCTGTAATGGCACAAGTGAGGAGAAACTATTTTGAGACCTGAGCGGGGATTTATCGAAGGTCAAGTTTCTCTAAGGTTTTGTCCCTTCTCAGAGTTCTCATATGGTTTGTTTTTGTTGCACTACCTTGAGATATCATACATTTATTGAAATGGTCCTGTCAGTGGCCAGTAAGACAATCTTTTATATCTGAATTTCAGCTGATAAGCCCACCAGACTAAATTAGTTCATGTATTTAAATTAGATTGGGTTGAAGGCTCTCAAGGTAAAGAGTGTAAGGTTTTGAAATTCCTTCATTCTTGGGAACCCTATATACAATCCTTAGATCAACACATAAGCATCTGATTTGCAAACCTTTTCAGTGCACTGGCTGGTATTCATCATGATAATTATAGTATGAATATTGTTTTGTTTTTTCTTGTTAATTTAGTTTTCTTATTTTCACAGCGTAAATATTTGTGAGGGTGCTTGTCGTAACTCTGACACCCGGTGTCCATTTAAAACAGTAAAATGTTAGAGTAAAGAGTTAAAAAAAAACTACAAGCTACATATTTAATTGTATATCAACCAATCTGAAGGCACACTTCAACATGTCATGCAATGGATTTGTTACGTTATAGTTAGTTATACCTTGTGTTTTTTTTCTTAATATTTGAATAAGTAAGTAGATGTATAGATCAGGGTGTTGCAGTGGATGTGATCTACTTGGATTTTGCCAAGGCATTTGATATGGTTCCTCACAATAAGTTAGTCTTCAAACTAAAAGAAATTGGTCTAGATGAGTATTTTTGTTCTTGGGTAGAACATTGGCTTAAGGATAGAGTACAACGAGTTGGCATTAATGGTACATTTTCAAGCTGGACAAAAGTGTTAAGTGGTGTCCCTCAGGGTTCTGTTTTGGGACCGCTTCTATTTAACATATTTATAAATGATCTTGAAATAGGCATTGAAAGGCATGTATCAGTGTTTGCAGATGACACAAAACTTTGTAAAGTAATAAAATGTGAGCAGGATATTGACTTGCTGCAAAGGGATTTGGATAAATTGGGGGACTGGGCACTAAAATGGCAGATGAAATTTAACGTAGAGAAATGAAAAGTTATGCACTTCGGGGGAAAGAATGCACAAACAACTTACACCCTAAATGGTAGTGAATTAAGGAGAACAACGCACGAGAGGGATTTTGGAATTGCTATAGACAACAAATTAGGCAGCAATATGCAATGTCAATCTACAATTGCCAGGGCCAGTAAGGTTTTGTCATGGATAAATCGGGGCATACATTCTCAGGATGAAAATATTATTTTTCCTCTTTATAAATTGCTGGTAAGATCATACCTTGAATATGCTGTGCAATTTTGGGCACCTGTTCTAAAGAAGGATATCATGGCACTAGAAAAAGTGCAGAGATGAGCTACAACATTGATAAAAGGAATGGAGCATTTTAGTAAGAAGAAAGGTTAAAACATTTAAATCTCTTTAGTTTGCAAAAACGGCGCCTGAGAGGGGATATGATAACATTATACAGATATATTTAAGGCCAGTACAAACCTTTATCTGGAAATCTATTCATAAACAGGGCTCTATATATAACAAGAGGTCACACATTTAGGCTGGAAGAAAGGAGATTTAATCTAAGGCAAACAAAAGGTTAGTAAGAACTATAAGGATGTGGAATTTTCTGCCTGAAGAGGTGGTTTTATCAGAGTCCATACAGATATTTAAACAGCAATTGGATAAATATTTCCAAAACTATAACATAACATACAGGGATATAATTTCTAATTAGTGGGGTAAAAACTGCTTGATCCAAGGAGATACCTAACTTTTTTCTAGTTTGTTGCAAAATTGGAAGCGCTTCAGACTGGGTTTTTTGCTTTCTTTTGGATCAACAGCAAAAACACATGTGAGGAAGGCTGAACTTGATGGACGCAAGTCTCTTTTCAACCAGTTCCACCAAGCAGGAGCCATGCTTTGGAGGGCCTTGATTTTGATCATTTGATCAAACTGTTTGAAAATTGTATGACCCAGAACCAGGGGACAGTGCTTGCAATCTTATAACACTATAACCACTACATCAGCATGTCGTTCTAATGTTGGCTGGACAGCACCTTTGAGTGTCTAACTATTGTTATATGCCCACATTAAAGCAGTTAGCTGCAGAGAGACAGTGAGATGGGTGAATCCAATAATTATGCTGCTCCTTCCCTGAGCAAAATGAAAACAGTTATATCTGCTGTCAGTTCTTGAATCTTCGACTAAGTCCTACAGCCAAACAAAATACATAAAAATCACCCAAAATTAGCATACATTTATTTCTGCTGCTTATGGCGACAAATCAATCTATCAGCGCCCTTCTACTGTTTCACATGACTAAAAAGTATAATTATTGTGCCCTGAAGAAAATATGAAAAAGGTAACATTTATCTGATATTTTGTTTGTGCAGAGTTCAAAAGTCATAGAGAGGATATTCGTATCACAGTTCTTATTAATGTTTTATTCGGCATTGAACACAGTTATAGGGAAGCAATTGTCATGATACCTCAAATGGGTTCATAGAAATAATCTGTGGAATTGCTCACCAGGATCAGCTCATCTCCCAGCAGTTCTCGGGTCCAGTATGTTCTGGGGCCGGTTCCTTCCACAAGAGATTGCTTACAGTAGATTTTATTTTCCTTCTCCCAAACTGGCAAACTCTGTGGATGATAAAGTGAATGAGGATGCATTCTAATAGTGGGTGTTTTAAGAAAAAAGAAAATATAAAATTAAAGATGACATCACACGAAGGCAGAACACAAATATTACAGCAATAAAGGATGCTGTTTTAAAACCTTGTCATAGCTGGTGAGGAGATGTCAAGAATGTATGTACAATAATTATTAATGTAATTAATGAGCAAAGTTAAAGGGACACGCTGGGTACTAACAATATTTATATATATATATGGTCTGCACAGCTGCAGACCATGTGATGGAAAGCTTGCAAGCTCCCAGAGCGTTTCCGCGAGTTACCATGGCAAAGCTCTAATCAGAGCTCGCGATAACCCGGCAGAGCTGCAGACCTGTAGAGCCAGCCACTCGACCACCAAGGAATGGGGAGCACTGAAAAAAAAGGTATGTGAATGTGGGGAGGCTGATCACAGCCTTCCCACAGCCTGCCCTCACCTCACAGCCTGTCACCCCCCTCACCACTGTCAGCCCCACTGTCACCCCCATAACCTGCCTCCCCACTATCACCCTGACACCCTGCCCCTCCCCGCTGTCACCCTGTCACTGTCAGCCTGACACCCTGCCCCCCCCACTGTAACCCTCAAACGCTGCCCCCCATTGTCACCCTCACACCCTGCCCCCCCACTGTCACACTGTCACTGTCACCCTCATACCCTGCCCCCCACTGTCACACTGTCACCCTCACACCCTGCCCCTCGTTACCATCACACTCTGCCCCTCACCACTGTCACCCTCACATTCTGTCCCCTACTGTCACAGCCTTCCCATAGCCTACCCCCACCTCACAGCTTGTCACCCTCTCACCACTGTCACCCCTACTGCCCCCCACTGTCACTTTGTCACTGTCACCCTCATACCATGCCCCCCACTGTCACCCTGTCACTGTCACCCTCACACCCTGCTCCCCCACTGTCACCTTGCTCCCCCTCACTGTCACCCTCACATCCTGCCCCCATACTGCACACTCACATTCTGCCCCAAACTGTCACCCTTACACCCTGCCCTATACTGTCACCTTCACATCCTGCCACCCACCACTGTCTGCCCCAAACTGTCACCCTCACTTCCTGCCCCCATGCTGTCATCCTCACATCCTGCTACCCACCGCGGTCACCCTCACATCCTGCCCCAACACTGTCTCCCCCACACCCTGCCCCTCACCACTGCCATTGTCACTCTCACACACTGCCTCCCACCACTGTCACTATCACATCCTGCCTCCCACCATTGTCACTCTCACACCCAGACCCCCACACTGTCACCCTTACATCCTGCCCCCTACACTGTCACCCCCACCATGTCACTCTCACACCCTGACTCCCACACTGTCACCACCACACCCTGCCCCCACAGCCTTTATACACACTGCCCCCCACACTGTCCGCTTCCTACACACTGCCCCCTATACTGTCACCTTCCTACACACTGTCTCGCCATTCCAGCCCACAGGTAAGAGGCAGGAAGGGGGGTAATCCCAATTTAATTTAAACTGCTCACCCCCTCCAGCATGTATTCAACTTCACACACACACTACATGCATTACATAGACACTGTATCCACTAAACACACTGCATCCACCAAACACACCCTACATCCACTACATGCACTGCCTCCAGTATACACACACAGACAATATATTCAATGCACACACTGCATACAATACACACTACTTCCATGACACAATAACAGACGCAGCATCAACGACACAAAGATGCAGCATCCACTACACACAGACACAGCATCCACGACACACGGACGCAGCATCCACGACACACAGACACTGCATCCACGACACACAGACACTGCATCCACTGAACACACACACACTGCATTCACTACACACTGAATATGATATACACAATGCATTCACTACACACACTGCATAACATAATGGATGTTGGCGTGCTTTTGGTGCAAGGCGGGTGGGGGGGGGGGGCAGCATTTCTTCCTTGGACCCAGGCAGCACTCTGAAAAAGCAGTATTTGCATGAAAATACCTGCATATAATGATTATACTCACCAAAACAACTACATTGAGCTGTAGTTGTTCTGGTGACTATAGGGTCCCTTTAATGTTGTGGCTGATCAGTGTACTACTGTGAGTATTATTGCTACGGAGTTCTCAAGACACAAAAAATATGGAACTGCTAGGAAAGATGAACATTAGGATAGAAAAGGTGGACAAAGATACTGTCCCTCCTAAATATGGACACTAGAGAGGCATGCCCCAATTTATTCCATACTAAAAATATTCCGTCACATTTCCACATCACAGTATTGGTCATTGCTTACACTGTAGCATTTTGTCACTTCCCTTTACCAAACTATTGTTTAATTGTGTTATATTCCCACATCAAAATATTACCTTACTTTTCTACACTAATTATTCCACACATTGTTCCATTATATCACACCAAAGTTTTCCATTTCATCTGAACGCAAAAGTGTTTCCTCATCTTGCTACACCATTGCATTCCACAACCACATCCTGCTGTTTCTCATAAACTGTTGCTCTTAAAGTCAAATCAACACAATTCGCTTTGGTTTGGTTATTGTCAGTTCTTGAAGATTTAGCCAATAATGTAGTAAGAATATTTTTAATCTGCATATAAAATCTATTTAAATATTATATAATAACCAGGCAGCTCATTTCAGTATCATGTCCATATTTATCCGAATCCCCACAAAACTACCAACTCAAATGAAGAATTAGTAGTACCTAAGCCTTTCAAGACAGACAATGAGTAACTACTGTCTTTATATCATAGGATTTGCCCAACAAAGTGTCCTGAGGTGGTTAAAAAATGTCTACAATTTCTAATAAATTTACTGCAAATATGTATTAATTGTGTCAATGCCTATATTTATTGAATACTCTATAAATTACCATAGTACCCTTTGGATGGGGATTGGCAGCAATATTTTCCGTGAGCAGGGTACCCCAGGATGATGAAAAAATTATGAAAAAAAGAAAGAACTAACAGTGTAGAATTAAATAGAAAGTGTTGTAAAATGAGTCTATGCATTAACAAGCATAGGACGATCCACTGCCACGTTTCACCCCATTAAGCAATTAAATTAACCGTTTTATGGGATCAAATAAAAAGGCACGTACTAACTATAAAATAAAAAAGGTAATAACACTGGAACCAAATGTTTAATTTCCAGAATATTACTGCAGTAGTTACTGTGCATTTAGGTTTAAAAGGTCCCCACTAGCCTCCTTCCTTTGAGATTTGTTGCGTTGATAAATTATGTGACCGCACCCCCCTCCTCTGCCCCCCCCCCTCTCCTCCACCCCAATCTTCCAGCCCAGAGGCTCTTATGCTTTCCCAATCTAAGTACTCCTTGGTCCAGATCTGAAAGCCGACGGGAGGAGGCCCTATAAATTAGGGGGTCATGCAGCATGATGTCAGGATTAATAAATGGTCACAAAGAGCTGCGTGTGTAATGTCTGGGCGAAATCATAAAATCACTTAGTGTTCAGAATGACAGCCAAATGAATATCCACTACACAGTAACCCAAATGTGCATGATCTATTATACTAATGTACTTGCCATGACAGTTTTATTTTTTCTCATGAATGCATTCACATTGCTACCAATGTGTGTTACATTAACGCACTGGTGTATGTAATATTAATTCACTTGCATAGATACTGATGTGTGTGTTACATTAAAGCAATCACATGGCTATCAATTTTCGTTACGTTAATGCAGCCACGCAGCAATCAATTCGTGCTACGTTAATGCATAAATATAGATGGGCCGTGGAGAAAGCTCTGAATGTGCCTTCATATTGCAACATTCTGGAACAATAGCCACGTTTACACCGTATTTGCAATTCTCTATTTGATAAAGATAGTTTGAATGCACATTTGGAGATTAGACCTAAAATAGTACATTTAGTTTGGAGCAAAAGGCTAAATAAGCTAAAAGCAAGTAGATAATTAAATAAACCCGGTGAGATCTTCTTGTCCTCCTAATAACTGGAAGGCATCCTCGAAAGGTCGGACAGTCTCTTCGAGGGAAATTGTCCCATTTTGAGCGTGCTTCAAAATTATGTGCTTAAATGAGTGAAAAATTGGTGCATGTATACATGACACGAACAAAAGTAATGGCCGCATGTAAGAACAGGGCATGCAAACTGAACTGCAGAAAAGAATGAAAATAACATTACCAATTCTCCTAGTTAGCCACACAATCTGCCACCTTATCTACCATCAGACTTGCACATTTGTTTTTGGCTGATCTGCAGTTAGTCCAAATTTAATCCATTGAGTAGGTTCTCTAAAATACTGTAAACCCAAAGCCCTGTATGGATGTATAACAGAGCAAAACGACTCACGCAATGGACGAGCATGTTCGTTTAATTTGTGATTTGGAATTCCGTCCGTGGGGGCCAAAAAAAAAGAATTGATTGATGGTTAAAAAAATATATATTTATATGTTTATATATTTAATAACATTTTTACCGAGTCTCCTTTTTTTATTCCTCTATTAGTTACTTTTTCTCTCTTGATCTGTGAAACAAATAGTGTGAACATTTTCACATGTTTTTCATTTATTGGAATCATTTTCCATTTTTGCATGCACTGCATTAAAGAAAAAATATTTAAAAAATAAAATAAATTTGCACCACATACAAGTCTATCTGTCAACACTTAAAACCCACTTAAAACCCTAACTACTTGCTACCTCGCTGCCTCTCAATACTTAGATCATCACCCTCCTAAACATCCTGTATGCCATCTGATAGCCTACCTCCATATGTGATACCATTTTTGCCAACTTCAGTGGCACTGTCCTAGCCAGCATGTGGAGCAATCCATGGCATTTACCTTGAATCTTGTCCACACTCAAAGTATCTAAAGCAGTCTGTCACCAAGGTGGCTAATCAAGACTTTACACTCAGGAACTACTATTTCTGCAGTCTCTATGCCATATGGGCCAGCTGACTGCAAATCACCATATGTTGCCTCTGGTAGCTCATGAAACTCCTATTACCCATTTACGTATTCAAGAATGTGTCAATCTGATTCGGATTACTGTTTAATCTGATTATCACTGGCAACATTTTAGATTAGTAAGAATGATGCAGCAGGTCGGACCTTGACAATATTATGTATTTCTGACTGGTTTAGTGTAGCGTGTGTCCTTGGAATTACTCTGTTAGCCTTCCTGGTGTTTGGTTTTGAACTGCCCGGATTTCTTGTTGCTCTGATCTCTGGTATCCCTTACCCAACTTGTTCTACAGCTTTGTTACATTCTTCTACAGGTACTTTTACATGACAAGTTGTTTGTTTTTTATGTAGGTATGGTTTTCTGTATAAAGTGTATATAATGGGTAAAAAGGTATAAGTCAAGTTTAATCCTGCACACAGACTGCACACAAAAGCACAGAAAAGGTAACACTGAGAATGTTGTGTACCCTAAATTTGCCCTAGACTCCAGTTTCCTGTTTTAGAACTATAAAAATAGACTACAGATCAAGGGCGTATCTAGAGCTTTTGGCACCCGGGGCAGATCCTGTGTTTGGCACCCCCTGCAACCCCTACCCCTGCACTTTAAAATTTAATAAACACCCACAATATTTTCATATTTCATGTTTTCATTTTTGTGTACATTTAAAAAAAACAACAACCTGTCCTGCCTCCTTTCACAAAACCCCTCTACTGCCCGCGGCCGTTCAATAAAACGCACGTCCTGCCCCAATTCTACAAAACCCCTGCACCCCCTTCCACAAATCCCCTGCTCAGCCCCTGTTATACAATATCCCTGTCCCCCATCTACAAACCCCTGCACCCCCTTCCATAAATCTCCTGCGCTCCTTTCCCCCCAAAAAACTGCCTCTCCCTCTAAAGTCCCTGCTCAGCCCCTTACCATAGAATTCTTTTTTTTTTTACACAACAATATTAGCAACAGTCTGCAGAGTCACTCGCACACAGTCACACACAGTTACAGGCAGACGGTCACACACAGTAACAGGCAGACAGTCACACGCCATTACAGGCAGACAGTCACACAAACAGTTACAGACAGTCACACATACAATTACAGGCAGACAGTCACATGCACACAGTCACATACACACACACACAGTCACAGGCAGTCTCACACACACACACAGTTACAGGCAGACAGTCACACAGACACACAGTCACGCACACACACAGTCACAGGCAGACAGTCACACACACACACACTGTCACAGGCAGACAGTCACACACACACACACATTTACACACACACAGTCACAGGCAGACAGTCACACACACACATTTACACACACACACAGTCACAGGCAGACAGTCACACACACAGTCACAGGTGGACCGTCACACACACACACACATTTACAGGAAGGCATTCACACACACACACAGTCACAGGCAGACAGTCACACACACAGTTACAGGCAGACAGTCACACCAACACACACACATACAGATTCACAGGCAGTCACACAGACACAGTTATAGGCAGGCAGTCTCACACACACACAGTCACACACAATGAAGGCGGCCTGCCCCTGCGTTCACACATCCTAAGGCCATCCTGGTCATGGCAACCCCCTAGTGAGTGGCACCCGGGGCAGACCGCCCCCCCGCCACCCCCTCCCCTTAGTACACCACTGCTACAGATGCAATAAGGATGAGAAAACTGTTGATGGTATGGAATTAAATAAATATACATTCAATAGTAGTTCTGGATATATGTAGTTTTACATTCAAAGGGGAGCTATCACTTCCCCAGATATTTTATATTATGTTTACTTATCGCCTATATTTAATAAATGATTTGCATGTCTGTAAAATAGTGTCTGTAAAACAAAAGTAAAGATAGAAATACACACTGCAGTATTTACCTCTATCCTGACTCAATCATGACCAGGGATGGATTAACATAGGGTTTGATGGAGCTGTAGCTCCAGGCCCATGCCCATGGAGAAGGCCCACTTTTTTAATTATTTTTTAAAGTTGGTGTTTTGTTTTTTTACACACTACTCTTCACATGCTCTTGCTTAAGTATGGAAACCTAAGAGGGATGTATGGGAACAAAACCTGTGTGGACTGGCTGACAATGAAATTAGTTATGATAATGCTGACTTTGGTCTCTCTAACACTGTGGCATGTCCCCTTTCTTCTACACTCACTACATTCACCTTTTCTCTGTCCCAGACTATATACCAGGAGCTTCTGTCAGCTAGTAAGAAGGTAAGGAGGTATTTTGTGCCATTTTATTACACGGCTTTAATCATGACATAGAAAGGAAGACTGAATATTTGCTCGGAATTCTTAGTTAATCATGCATATTGATAGAGGGGATAAAAAAAACTGTCAGGATATAAAATAATATACAAAGAAAAAAGACAACGCTTGTTGAACTACTTTTAGAACACTAATAAATTGAAACTGATTGTGAACTCCTCCCCTCTCAAATACACTTTTCAGATCACTTTGATAGATCTCACCCAAATGTTACATTTATTGCTTCACTACTTGAGCTTTAAATGTGTTTACTAGTTGTCCCAGGACAGAACGTATTGCGATGTATGTTGCTAACTATTTATAATATATATTTAGAGGAAAACAAAGTATTTCACGAACAAGGGTTACACAAGTTATAACACAATAAAATATTAATTTGGAAATGTTTTATACAATGGTAGAATTTCTAAAAAGTTGGTTCTCCCGGAACTGAGCCCTTTTAAGCTCATCATGCCTATTAACCCCTTAAGGACCAGACTTCTAGAATAAAAGGGAATCATGACATGTCACACATGTCATGTGTCCTTAAGGGGTTAAAGAAATACTATAAGCATACAGACCCCTTCATCTCAATGAAGTGATCTTGTTGCCATATCTCCTCTGTTTAAACCTTGCAACTGTAAAACATTGCCGTTCTGCAGGAACTGCAATGCTTTCTTTGCAGGGTTAACCTGTCTCTTGTTGCAGTCATACTGACAGCCACTAGAGGCAGTTCCGCCAAAATAGTTGAGTAAAACTCCACTATTTCAATCAGGTGATCTCATAGAGACCATCTGATTGGTGCAGTGCATCTTTTTGCCACAAGTACACACCAGCCTTCGTAAGGGAACGCACTGGATTGGCTGAGATCATCAATCAATAATCTCAGCCAAAGAGGCGGAGTTGCAATCTGGAGCCATCGCTAAGAGGTAGTGTCAGGATCCTATCCTGACAAGCAAGACTTTTTTTTCCGTTGATATATTTTTTCTTTAAAAAAACAAGTTCCTGCACGCATTATGTTTTACCACTAGTGGCCTCCCTTGCCTCTAGTTCTGGAAACTCACATTATCACCCTCACCTGCCTGGACTAATTGGGTTCCTACAAAAGGTAACGTCCAACTCACCTCATTGCCTTTGCATTGAAGTTGTTGATCTACCTGAAACGCTTCAGAACTTATCTTATCTGCTTCAGAACTATTTACTTCCAACCCTGCTTAATACCAGCTGAACTACTTGCTTCCAAACCTGCTCAATACCAGCCTGAACTACTCTGCATTCCTGTTTGACTTCTAACCTGCAAAATACCAACCTGAACTTAACAACTATCCAGCTTTAGCCAACCATCCTGATTTTTACCTACTCAGATCCAACAACCTCCCTGCTCTATACCTGCCTCATATCACCACTCTGAACTCTGCCTCAAAATGACTACATGGAGTTATTTTCCTGTTTTAAGCAAATCTTATTCATAAAGGGGGCTTATTAACTTAAGTTCTCCTTTTCCCTCAACCTTATTATTCTGTCTAATTTGTCCTTCTATGTAACCTATACTTTTATCTCTATAGGTTTTCTTATTATTTACTTCCATTCCTGATTGTATTCTATTTTGGGCATATTGCCTAACTCCCGTTTTCGGTTTACCTTCAATTTACTTGCCTATAATTTCTCTTGTAGGTTATTCTTAATTCTCCAACCTATAACTTCATTTATAGGTTTACCTGTTATCCTATTTCCACTTAGACCTTTTTGTCTAAACCCTTTATTTTCATAACCTAGTTATCCTTACCTAGAAATTCAGTTACTCAGATCTGTTTGCTGTCTCTTTCATATTATTTCAATTATTGGACATACTGATTATTTTATAATGTCCGAATCCAGCAATAAAGATCTTGATGTTAACCCTGGCAATCATCTCCTACCTGACCGGCACAAGAGCATGACAGGGAGACAACTCACCTTTTTAACATTACCAGAAGGGGCACTGTAACCTAAACGGTAACTATGGCTCTATGGAGTTTAACCCCTTAAGGACGGCGGGCGTTTTATGCCATCCTTTTTTAGTCCGTCTTACACGCCAGTGGGCTGCATAGAACGTCCCTGCCGTCCTTTGTACTTACCGTTTACCCGCCATTCCCCCGATGGTGGTCGCATCCTGGAGTATGCATGGGAGCTCAGGCAGACCCCCTCTGCCTGATTCAGCCCCCTCGGCCATGTGTTCGCGGGGTCCTTGCAATCACATAGCCGGAATAGCCAGCTTATGCAGTGCCTGCATAGGGACTGCCTGAGCTCTCAGGCTCTCCCCCTCATGCCTGTAAAAAAGTTTGTTAAAGTTAATAAAAGTTGTAAAACAGTGTTTTAAATTAAATAAAAAGTACTTAGATCCAAGCACTACCAAGCCTCCATAAGCAAACCAGTAACCAACCTCATGCTGAAGAGTTGCATTAACAACGAAACAGCTGTCCATGAGTGGTTCACTGGTTTTGCATCTTATCCTAAATTGTGTTCCAAGCAGTTGTATACTGCAAACACAAATTAAAAGGAATCCATGTTTAAAATGGAATGAGGCAAAAATGTGATTCTTTGTTAAACTAATTTGCATATGCCCACCCAGAATCCTTTGCGGTTGTAACATCACTGCTGATTTGGGATTTCTGTGGGAAAAGCAAGTCTTATGGCTTGACTGGTGTGCAGATTTTTGTTTAGCATTGTATTAACTATCCACATACTTCAGGTGGAAGGGGTTTTCAATCACAATTTTTCCCCACCATAACCTATTTGGATTTTGCTATATATATATATATATATATATATATATATATATATATATATATATATGTATAATCTAAGTACGATTATATACACATGCATACATCATTAATAAAAGTGTATTTTAATATTTTCATAATTATATATATATTATTAGAATACACTTAGAATGACGTTAATTATATATATATATATAATTATAATTTTTATATATATATATATATACAAAATAAAAATAATCAATAAATAAATTGAAAAAAATAAAATAAATGTAAAAAAAATTATATACCAGTTTAAATTTGTTCTAACTGTATTTTGATCTTAATATACATATATATTAAATTCAAAATTAATTTAGAATGATGTTATAAATACATATATATAGCTATATATAATAAAACAATTATATAGATATACATATACATAAAAAATGGACATGTACATATATACATATATATATTTAAATTCTACACATATATTTATATAATATTTTTACATAATCAAGTCATTTTATTCATTACAATCTAAGGGACCTGCCCGACAACCCAGACAGAAAGTCCAGAGAATTTGGCTTGCATGCTCTATATTTAACCCTGTAACTTTCCAGGACGCCATAAAACCTGTACATGGGGGGTACTCTTTTACTCAGGAGACTTCGCTGAACACAAATATTAGTGTTTCAAAACAGTAAAACATATCACACAGTGTTGTCGTCAGTAAAAATAATTTTTTTTGCATTTTTCACAAACAAACGGTACTTTCACTGACGGTATATTTGTTGTAATACGTTTTACTATTTTGAAACACTAATATTTGTGTTTGGAGAAGTGTCCCAAGTATATTAGTACCCTCCATGTACAGGTTTTATGTTGTTTTCAAAAGTTACTGAGTCAAATATAAGGCTTGGATTTCCTTTTTTCACATTGAAATTTGACAGACTGGTTATATTGTCTTTGAGAGCGTATGGTAGCCCACGAATGAGAATTACCTCCATGATGGCATACCATTTGCAAAAGTAGACAACCCAAGGTATTGCAAATGGGGTATGTCTACTCTTTTCTACAAGCCACTTAGTCACAAACACTGGCCAAAATTATCGTTCAATTAATTTTTTTGCATTTGTCACGCACAAACAAATATGAACGCTAACTTAGGCCAGTGTTTGTGACTAAGTGGCTACTAGAAAAGACTGGACATACCCCATTTGTAATACCTTGGGTTGTCTACTTTTGCAAATACTATGCCATCATGGGGGTAATTTTCATTCCTAGGCTACCATTTGGTCTCAAAGGCAACATAACCAAATTTCAATGTGTATAAACTGAAAAATGTAATGTGCTATATTTGACCCTGTAACTTTCCAAAACACCATAAAACCTGCACATTTGGGAGTACTGTTTTACACGTGAGACGTCGCTGAATACAAATATGTGTACTTTATTGCAGTAAAAGCAAAAAGTATTATGGCATTCACAGTTATAATGCCTTACAGAACTAAAAAAAAAAATAACAAAATTTCTTAATTTCTAATTTTTTCAAAAATATTTTATTCATATTAAGTTATGTTTAATATACAAATATTTGATGTGACATAAAACCCCTGTTCTCGTGAACAAAATGATATATGATAAGTGTGGGTGCACATAATATAAAAGAGGTGAATTACGCTTGAACAGACATATAGTGCAACTTCAAGGTTTTGTTTACGTTTTGTTTTGATCACAACTTGTACAATTGGCTCAGTCCTTAAGGTGTTAAATACATATTTGAATGCTTAACGTTACCGTGTTCCTTTAAGTGCTGGCACAGTGACAACAAACTATCCCCTGATGAGAACTGACCTTCCTTGCATTCTATGAATTTAGAATCATGGCATTTAAACATGTATGCCATGATACCAAGATTGGAGTTGTCGGTATCAGCCTTTTAAAGGTATTTCAGCCCCTTCTACAACAAAGGTGACTCATTTCTAAGGGTTATACACCAAATTACAAACTTCAGCAAGGTAATATCCAAATATCAAAACTGAGGCCAAAGTTGCCAAATTGTGACTATAGTTGGAGAACTTTCCCAAATTAACGTTTGTTGCCTAAATTTTGCCATTCAGATTTTAGTCAACTTCATTTCAGGGTTTAGTGAATAATCTTGTTTAAATATATTAAAATGAGTGGGGTTAGACCCTCTGTAGAAACTGCAAATAAGATACTGAAAATGCTAGAAAGTCAAGCTAAACCTGAATGTTCTCCCTGTGTATTTTAACATTTTTGCGCGAGCTGCTTAGATTTCCCTGTGTGTTTTGACCTTTATTGACAGTAAACAGTGAGTTACATGTCACTATGGCCTATGGCCTACAGCAGCGATTCTCAATCTTCTACAGAGAAGAACCCCTACAGACCTAAAAAATAATTTAACTACCTCGAGAAAGTCGTTTCCAAATGAAATTTTTAGACACTGATATGTAGGAGTGTATGAATTATTAATCGGAAGTATAAATGTCACACATTGAAAATATAATACAGACATGATAGTTGCAATTGGAGGACGCTGAGACACACACACAGCTACACACATAGGACACTGACACACACACAGTAACACATAGAGGACACTTACACACAGGTGCACTGACACACATTTACACACAGAGGACACTGGCACACACACAGTTACACACAGAGGACACTGACACACACACTTTTACACACTGAGGGCACTCACACACTTACATTCAGAGGCCACACACACACCGATAGGACAGTAACACAAAGACATTTTCACATATAGGAAACTAGCACACACTTGCACACAGAGAATATAAACACTCACTGACAGACACACTCTCATTGATTTGATGTACACTCACACACAAACACATTCACTGACAGACACACACAGACACACACACTCACTGATAGACACATACACAGCTTTTTTTATTTATTATCATTTAAGGAGAGCTGGATTGGATCCTTTTTCTCGAATCCAGTGGAGATATTTCACCTGGGGTCTAGTGTGACTGCTGTCATCGTCATGGTCTTCTTCAGGTCCCTTGCAGGCTGTTTAGTGATGAGAGGGTCAGAGTGATGTCACAACATAGCTCGCGGCATAACCGCAGGGAGCGTGAGGGAGCAGTGCTGAACAAGCACAGCGATTACAGCTCCTTCGCCAACCAGCCACCTCTCCCAAAACACTGTATTTGGGCACAGTAGGCACATGCCATCCAGGTAAGCAGGTGCCTAGTCTGCCTCGGCATATAGTAGGCCGCCTCTTGGGGGCTCTAAGGTGGTCAGCCATCTCTTAACTTACCCCCTACATTTGGAGAGTCAAAAATGGGTCGCTAGAGAATACTGAGAACGGGCAGCAGCTGAAATAGCCTGCCCTTCGGTCGGTCCCCGCTCAGTTCTCAAGCTGATTTTTGCTCATCTTGTGCCATTACAGAGAGAACATATCTGAAGCATATCAGACTGGTCCCACCCATACGGGCAGTTCAGATCCGAAATGCCAGCAAGTTCTCTCTGCACGAGAGATACAGCAACCCCAGACGATCGTTTCAGCCTTGTTAGGCATCATCAGTGAGGCATAGCTGATATCTCCATAGGCACCGTGAGCAAGGGGTCCACGTCTGGATTATCCCTTTAAACTTGTGGAGAGTCAAAAATGGGTCGCTAGAGAATACTGAGAACGGGCAACAGCTGAAATAGCCTGCCCTTCGGTCGGTCCCCGCTCAGTTCTCAAGCTGATTTTTGCTCATCTTGTGCCATTACAGAGAGAACATATCTGAAGCATATCAGACTGGACCCACCCATACGGGCAGTCCAGATCCGAAATGCCAGCAAGTTCTCTCTGCACGAGAGATACTGGACTGCCCGTATGGGTGGGACCAGTCTGATTTGCTTCAGATATGTTCTCTCTGTAATGGCACGAGTTGAGCTAAAACCAGCTCGAGTTCTGAGCGGGGACCCACCGAAGGGCAGGCTATTTTAGCTGCTGTCCGTCCTCAGAATACTCTTGCGACCCATTTTTTGCTCTCCATTAGTTTAAAGGGTAATCCAGACGTGGACCCCTTGCTCATGGTGCCTAGAGAGAAATCAGCTATGCCTCACTGACGATGCCTAACAAGGCTGAAACGATCGTCTGGGGTTGCTGAATCTCTCGTGCAGAGAGAACTTGCTGGCATTTCGGATCTGGACTGCCCGTATGGGTGGCACCAGTCTGATATGCTTCAGATATGTTCTCTCTGTAATGGCACGAGTTGAGCTAAAACCAGCTCGAGTTCTGAGCGGGGACCCACCGAAGGGCAGGCTATTTTAGCTGCTGTCCGTCCTCAGAATACTCTTGCGACCCATTTTTTGCTCTCCATTAGTTTAAAGGGTAATCCAGACGTGGACCCTTTGCTCATGGTGCCTAGAGAGAAATCAGCTATGCCTCACTGACGATGCCTAACAAGGCTGAAACGATCATCTGGGGTTGCTGAATCTCTCGTGCAGAGAGAACTTGCTGGCATTTTGGATCTGGACTGCCTGTATGGGTGGGACCAGTCTGATATGCTTCAGATATGTTCTCTCTGTAATGGCACGAGTTGAGCTAAAACCAGCTCGAGTTCTGAGCGGGGACCCACCGAAGGGCAGGCTATTTTAGCTGCTGTCCGTCCTCAGAATACTCTTGCGACCCATTTTTTGCTCTCCATTAGTTTAAAGGGTAATCCAGACGTGGACCCTTTGCTCATGGTGCCTAGAGAGAAATCAGCTATGCCTCACTGACGATGCCTAACAAGGCTGAAACGATCATCTGGGGTTGCTGAATCTCTCGTGCAGAGAGAACTTGCTGGCATTTCAGATCTGGACTGCCCGTATGGGTGGGACCAGTCTGATATGCTTCAGATATGTTCTCTCTGTAATGGCACGAGTTGAGCTAAAACCAGCTCGAGTTCTGAGCGGGGACCCACCAAAGGGCAGGCTATTTTAGCTGCTGTCCGTCCTCAGAATACTCTTGCGACCCATTTTTTACCCCCTACATTGCTCATTTACTGAAATGTATTTCAAGATTTCCTAATCTAGCCCAAATCTTGGTGCTTTGTTGTCAACTCACCACAATAATACATAGGAAGTTGTATTCCCCACTCCCTTGCTAAGCACCCTTTCCTGCCACATTGAAAAGCAAAAAGTTTAAGTCCTAAATACCTTTCCCATATTTATGTATTATAAACTTAATTAATAAATAAACTGCAATTAAAAAAAAAATCATACTTACTATGTGACGAGTTGTCCCCAAAGCCCTTGACTACTTCCCACCCATAAAAATAGGTGAATGCTAAAACTAAATGACTATAAAAATTCCTAGACATTTAATAGACAATAAAATAATTAAATAAAAATAAGAGAATTTCAGGAAAATCTCTTTTAGTGTAGAGTAATCTCCTTGGAAAATAGTTAAAGGCCTGTCAAACTAAGAAGATCGAGCTGCAAGCCGAATATCTTATGGGCATCAAATAAGATTAAATATGACTAAATCACAGTTTTTCACTTTATTCCACTTGGATAGATCTGCATCTTATTTACAGTAATTGTTCTTATCCCATAAAGAGGTTTTGGTAATTCCAGGAATAAGCTATTAATGCATATTTATGTTATATAATATATGTTAAAGTAGGCCTGTCACTTATCTGAATATGACACCAATCATTAATAACTTGTGTTAAAATTTTATTCAGATTATGCTTCTTTTTTAAATGTATATTAAAAACTTAGCAAGTGACATTTGCAAATCCAGGTCAGTCAAGGCACAGCCAAGGCACAGAATGCAAATGATGATAAGAACAGAAGATATCGATATCTCCTCTTTCACTAACTATACTCAATGATACAAAAGGCACGATTTATCATGATGATTGATGGGGAGCCAAGATGGAGGCACTCAAATGTGTGGATGTCTCCATTTATGTTTGCTATTCACTATCTATGATAAGTAAATATAATAATAAAAAAACATGCAAAGTGTGTTACCTTTTAAGTGCTTCCTTTTTTTTTATTTTTTTTGTGACTTTATTACTTAACACCCTAAAATTTTTATGAAAATAATTTAGCCATGTGATCAGTTGCACAAAACATAAAGCATCTGATTGGTAAATTGTGGTAGTTTATTCTGTAAATCAGGAGTGGAAGAAAATTATCCTCAAACTGAACTATTTTCCCAGTTCTCCTACTTAAAGGGACACTCTTAGTTAATCAGGGACACTCATAGTTACACAGGGGCACTGTGGTGTAAATATTTCTCCTTATTTTTTTAATGCATTATAAAAATAATATATTTTAAAAAGGGCAAAAGAAGATAATTAGTGAGTCTGCTGTAACTTGATAACAGCTATCTGGTGATTATTTCACAAAGGAAAGAAAACCCAGGGGAAGATGTGTATGCAGCACTTGGACAAAACTTGGACAAAATGAACACAGGAAATCCTAAAGTCTTTTTCCAGGCTGCCTGATTGACAGCTCTAAGGTTCAGACTTATAAATGTAGCAAAATTCTATCCACCATCAGCTTTGCAATTATGCAGGTGATTGTTCCTAAATTATTTTTTCTAGATTGGTCTTTTTTAGTGATTAAATCCATAATATATAAGTTCTTAACTCTACCCTGTCGTCTATTTTTTATGGCCATGGATAGGTAAAATTGACTGGTATGCTCCAGATATATAGAAGTGATGTCTAATGGTGTTTGGGTCAGTTATAATGAAGTTTACCCTGCATTTCCTGCCGTCCACAGTTTCTTCATCAAATTCCTCCCCCACTGTGAAATTTATTTCCGTAGTCCTGACCGTGGTAGACGTCTTAATGTAGAATTGGTCTCCATTCTGACGGATTTCAACATGAGGCTTAGATGCAGCAGCTACAGCCACTTTCCTGAGCATTGCATTAACCCCTAAGAAGATAAGAACATGTTAATAAAGTCCCAGAGTTACTTTTGTAACCGAAAGGTTAACTTGAAATATGCTTATTAACAATAATTGTAAAATTTGAGTACCAGGAAAGTTAGGCTATATGACATCGCTCACGCTATGGAATCCAGCGTTCTAGATCTGCATTGACAAATCTGTCCATTCCATTTAAACTGCTGGGTTAAATTACAATTCAAATTACAAAGAGATCCTTAACCCATCTTGGGTCTCATGGTTTGGTCGTAACTCCATTCATGCCAGCTACATTGGCATGCCAGCGCAATCAAATATTACAATGTTTATTAATAAAACCTGAAAAATCGTTACAATTCATTATTATGAATACTGTATAAATTGTATTTCTTATCGTTATTAAAGTAACACATTATTTTAGATTTATTAATCATATTACTTGATTTAATAATGTTGTATTGTTTGTATTTTATATAACACTATCATATTATACTACCAATATATGCTGGATGTTGAATATAAGGCAATAAAAATGTGTTAAGTACATCAGATATTGTGAGGGAGATGGGTTTGTAGATACTAAGCAAAGAAAACGATTAGTGGAAGTTATTGTACATTTTTATTATTGGTGAATATTGCAACAAGATTATACACTTCCAAAATCGAAATGAGATTTTCTGTAGACACATTTCTTTACAATGTAATATTTTATTTTTCTACAACGCTGGATGTTTGCATTGGGTGATGTAAAGACGCCTTCATGCATTCTCCTTTTTCTAGAACATTTCCATCACAAAGCTGCCATATAGTGAAACAGTTCAGATCTCTCCTCCAGTGGTGGTAAATCCAGTCTTGGGGGGATATTTAATCTTGGCCGTGTTTCAGAATTTCTCCAATTAACATGTAATCAAACAATGTACATTATGGACCCGTAATCAATTTGGCAGATGTTACCCTAACATCGACAGGGCCATATACTAAAGTGTGAATTATCAGATATTTAAAGTGAATATCACATGTAAGACTACAATTGGTTTGTTTTTTTTGCCTTCTTTTGGATCAACCGCATAAACAAATGGTTTTTTTGAAGGTTGAACTTGATGGACCTGAGTCTTTTTTTTTAACCTAGATTACTATGTAAGACCAAAATAGTTGAATTGGAAAAATTCTTTACGGCTTTCACTTCCAATTCGGCTTTAACGTTAACGTTAAGTACTTTGAATTTACTTTGCATTGTTAACAATTATCACTTCAGTGAATATCCCAAACCGTGTGTCTGTGGCTAACGGTGCATAGGGTTCTACATTCTATTAATCCTGCACATGTCTCAGATACATCCTTCTCTTGCTCTTCCAAAGCATCTCTTTGATTTCTGCGTCTACCAGCTGGTCTCCCATTATAGTTCCTATACTACATGGCAAACTATTGACATCAGTCAATAAATGGAAACTCAGAAACGGTTCCTTGAAGTGATTTTTAAAAGAAAAAAATAATAATCTGGAGCAATCACCATACAAGCTATTGAAACGCCCCATCTGATGCCTTTAATTTTCCTGTAGATTTTTCAGTTTTCAGAACTTTTATTTTTCGTTGTAGAAAGATAACAGCCAACTGTCCCACCAGGCAATTTCGTGCAAAAACACATTTTTTTTGTACAAATGAAATTCTTGACATTACCCCTTAATTTCCCTGTCTTATATTTCTTGTATAAATCTGTGTAGTAATTTGTATGTTTCTGTTAAGTAATTTAGGGGTTTTAGTATCTCTTAGTGTATGTAGATTTTCTGACTTTCTTCAGTGTATTTATTATACTGTAGGTGAGACCTATATAACTTTACAGAATACGATAGCCAAGTGCTTAAGATCTAGTTTAGATAAAATGTGTCACAATTTACAATTATATACTACCAATGCCTCATCCTATAAAAAACAAAGTATCTTTGTGGTGTTTCCGCATGAATTTTCATTATAAGTACTTTAAAGGTTTAGTTTCTTAATAAGTACTTCAATATGATAACAAGCAGGGCAAGTCCTTCTTATCTTGACATCAGTAAAATTGTTGTCAAAGAAAATTTAGTTTTTGTATGTTTTGTGTCCCAAATATTAATATCTCCCACATACAAAACTGCCATTTATCCATAGTTTTATTAAACGGGCATTCTTGTTTAAGTAAGCATCATAGCCACTAGTGTAGTGGATATGGGACAGATAGTCGATGGGCATTGTCTCCCATTTTTGCGTCAAATGATTTTGAGTCGTTTGATAAAAAATGTGTCTCTTCCAGTGCCTATGGCCCAGCCTCACTTATGCAGCTGAGCTACTATGGAAGTGTCCAATTTTATTCAACTTTGACAGGCTGAGAGCACTTTAGGCAGTTTAGCAGAGAGCCTTGCTAATCTTACGGAGAAAATGAACTACTTCAACAATCTGAGCATAGTTTTTTTACTACTCCTTTCCCTTAAAAGCAATATGCCTATTAGCAAAGCCAGGTTTTGTATATTAAGGTCAAATACTAGCCAAGAGGTGGCAAATTCATTCAGTAAAATCATTCACCGAGTTACCCACTACCAAAACTGGGCATTGTCATCATCAATGGAAAAAACTAGGCGTTGCCATTAGCTGCGCTTACTTATTATGGAAAGCGTAGACTTCGCAAGTTATGCAGTGTTCTTCTAAGAATTCCTTGTGTCTATCCAAGCAATTCTATTAATGTGATTAATGACGCTCATTCAGTGCTGCAGGTTAGAGTAGGGCTCAGTCATTTCATTACCATGTAACAACTAATTGGATTAAAACAGAGCTCCAGCTATATTTGGTTTCAAGGAATTTAAATATTGGTTGAAGCTTAGACCATCCCACTTCATCTATCTATCTATCTATCTATCTATCTATCTATCTATCTATCTATCTATCTATCTCTATCTCTCTCTCTATATCTCTATCTCTCTCTCTATCTATCTATCTCTATATATCTCTATCTATCTATCTATCTATCTCTCTCTCTCTCTATCTATCTATCTATCTATCTCTATATATCTCTCTCTCTCTATCTCTCTCTCTCTCTATCTATCTCTATATATCTCTATCTATCTATCTATCTATATATCTCTATATCTCTCTATCTATCAATCTCTATATATCTCTATCTATCTATCTCTATATCTCTCTATCTATCTATCTATCTAATAACTAAAATAGATAGATAGATGTATAGATAGATATTGTATAGATAAATAGATATTGTATAGATGTATAGATAGATATTGTATAGATAAATAGATAGACAGATAGATAGATAGACAGACAGATATTGTATAGATAAATAGATAGATAGCTAGCTAGATAGACAGATATTGTATAGATAGACAGATAGATAGATAGACAGATAGATAGATGGATAGACAGAGATATTGTATAGATAAATAGATAGATAGATAAACAGATATTGTATAGATAAATAGATAGATAGACAGATAGATAGACAGATATTGTATAGATAAATAGATAGACAGATAGATATATGTATAGATAGATAGATATTGTATAGATAGATAGATAGATAGATATTGTATAGATAGATAGATGTATATAGATAAATATTGTATAGATGTACAGATAGATAGATATTGTATAGATAAATAGATATTGTATAGATAGATAGATGTATAGATATATATTGTATAGATAGATATTGAAAAGATAGATAGATAGCATTATATTAATAAATTGGCGCTATATAAATACTACTACTAATAATACTAAATAGATAGATATTGTATAGATATATAGATAGATAGATATTGTATAGATAGATAGATAGCATTTTATTAATAAATTGTCCCAATATAAATACTACTAATAATAATGATAGATAGATAGATAGAATTATATTAACACGCCCACACTTTAATATTGCACTGCCTGCTGTAATTGACACAATTCTAGGTAACTAAATTTACTAGCCCGACTTACCGAGAGCTTTCAGAAGTTCATCAAAATTCTCACTGCTTTTCATTTTCCAAATTCCTGCGAAATCTGGCATGATGTGTCTGCTATTCCACGAATGATGGTAACGAGAAACAGAAGAGAATGAGAGAGAGAGGGGCAGGTTCAACCTGAGCGGACGGTCTGATTCCAGCCAGACGTCTAAACGAACCCTGTCTTATTCTCTCATGTGTGCGATCTTGATAGAAGAGAGGGTTGTGCCCCTCCTTCTGCCCCCTTCAGTGCCCCCTCCTTAAATATCAGATTTTTTTTTTCTATACAGAATATGTGCACCACAGTGGGATTAATTCAGTGTACCATCCGGCTTCCAGATGTCTTCTAAGCAACATCAGTTTCTCAAGTTTAATGGTCATGGGGGCTCCAAGTCCAAGTAAAAATGTATCATGTAATATTAATTTTAACCCCTTTATTACCAAGTTATTTGGAAAACAAATGATAATTATTTTTTATGTTTCGGAAAGTAATGTATAATTGTTTTGTGTATCTGTGTGGATAAACATACTGTTTATTGGCACAATTAAAATTATCTTTATTGATCCTTGCTTCACAGACAGTGAGAAAAAGCTTGCATGAGTTACAGAATCATGCAGTTAAAGTTCAGAATGCACTATAATTGTCTTACATTTGTAAACTATTAAAATGGTGAGAAAAATGGGTAAAAGGAGTTGGTTTATGGCTGCATACACATTATTGGGGGTGAAGAGGTTAAAATGACAAGAGACCCTAATCGTGAATGAGGAAGCTGCAACCCTCCAGTTTCTTTCACTGCATCTCACATCATCCTTAGTCAGACTCATTTGGCTGATACTGATAGGACTTGTAGTCAATCAACAGCTTGGGGTTCGCAGCGTAGCCAATCCTAGCATAAACATTGGCGATTAACATGTTGTCTGCCTAGGAACATTACCTAATCCATTTGGATTTATGAAGCGTCCTTTCATGTTTCCTGGTGAATTTATGCCACCTCTATTAAACACACAGACAAACTAAGAAATTGTACTAACTCATCGCGATACCCAAAGCAGTCTGGTTTATTACTGGTCCCTCAGGCAGTCAAAGGTTTAATGCATGTCACCTCCACAGTTTGAGGTTGATAGACTGTCCCAGCTGCTATACGGATGAAGGACGCTGGGGACCCAGATGCAGACATTAAGGTGTCATAAATCTAGGTCCCCTCTGGCTTCCGTGACATACAATGTTACTAATCTGCATAAAATGTCCCACGTTTCCCCCACCCTTTTTGCCATGCCTTGTCCATTCAGGGAATGATGAAGACTATAGCCAATGGACAAGTGGTCTGATGACGTGATGTGTATAATGGCAGAGAGAGTCAGTTCCAGTTGAAATAAACTACACTAAAAATGGTACCTTTGATGTGTATTAATTAACCCTACGTACGTGCTCTCTTTTGTCCCTGTTCTTTTCCCAGGTCTATGCTCAGCAGGATGGTGTTCCGTGAGACCCATTCAGCAGATGTGACGTGATTTATTGAATGCCTCTAAAGACCGAGAGGGTAACTAATGGCCTATTGTCGCTAATGCGTATTTGTGATTCAGCTGTCATGTATACAGTTTGTGATACAGAACACCTTTATGAGTCCATAATTCCATCTAACGCAGCATCATCTGGCATACCAAGTTTACGGTAGAGGGAGTTTATGACATTTATTAACATGCTTAGGTGGTGCAAACTTAATCTTCCAGCAGCTGTTGGATTGTGAAACCTGTTATGGTTAACGTAAGGCTGGATACAGGTCCAGCTACTGGTCTACGTTTGCTATAAACCCGTGCCAACCATTTTTTAGCAGAAACTTGACATAGCTCTCCTTTACTGCGCCAGAAAGGATACAATATTATACTAACCAACCACAAAAACAGGGCAGGTTTTTGATTCACTTCCCCCCACCCCCCCCCTACTTTATTCTTATTCTTTGGCAACTTGGCAACATTCCAATGGACATGTCTCTTTTTTGTGTTTTATTAAATAGGAATATTAGAACTAGGGGACAGCACAACCTGGGCATCCTCTGTTTTTTTGTTTTTTTGTCAATCTGTATTTTTATCGTGGCAGAAAGGTTATTTATGAAAATTATAATACAGCAAAAATGAACCACATTTTAAGTCTTATTGTGTGACTTCAAAATAGTATCAGCAGGTACACAGACCACATTAATATAAACTGAGCAGATAGCAAATATCTATACAAATTAAAACTCAGATTAACTCCTATTTCTTGACTGAGATAATCTTTTTGAGAGTAGATAGAATAAGGTACAGGAATCAACCCTAAATGTAAAAAAAGGAAAAGATAAAAGTGAACACAATTCAAACAGATATGCTATACTGCAAGTGGAGATAGACAGACAAGATAGACCTTTACAAGATAGTCCCAATCTTCTTGTGGCCTGCTGCTTAGCGAAGCTGGTTGTGGCATTGCCCAGAAATTCCACAAGGTCTCCCGATAGCAGCCAAAATCTTGGGAGGCTGTGTAAAAGACATCATCTGGGTCCTGGTCCATATCTTGACTCAGAACACACATGGGTTCACTCCCAGAATTTTCAATGACAAAATGATGTGAAATAGCAAAGTATGCTTGCATCTCAGAATAAGGGAGACATGCCAGTTGAATATTTAAACTTGCACCAGTCCCCACACTAGAAGCGCTCATACTCATATAGGTAGGTTGCCTCCCCATCGGCAGCTGCTCCCTGCTTTCTTGCTGTTTTTGGGACAGGAATTGTAGAAAGGTGTGGACCAGTCTGAGCAATGAAGTTGCTGTGGGTGTCACCTTCAAGTCTCCGAATTCTGCTTCTGCCATCTTGGGAGCCCTGTGGGTCCATCAGATCGGTAAATATCTATCTCCTGAAACCTGGGTATTATCAACTGATTCAAAGGGGTTAAGTAGCAGGTAAATTGTTTCTGAACAACAAGTAATGGCACCAGGAGAGCAGCCGCCTCACCCTGGCCAACTCCTGCCGTAGGCCACAACCTTCTTTATGTGGGCAATCCGTTTAAAGAGATGATCAAAAGTGGTTGACCCAGTATTACTGTGGTGCCTCTGCTTAGAAAATGCACTATGTCAGTATGATCAGCAAACTCACTGCGATTAGTTCTCTAATTTCTGAGCCAAGTGCAGGAGCTCGCCCAGCACACGTCTGCTCTGCTTGGCAGTCTAGCTCCACCCCCAGCATCCTCTGTTTCTATCAATGAAGTACAAGAGGAACATATCTAATAGCTATAGAATTTGGGAACTCATAGTCCATCATTACTAATTTACCCGTACTGTATTAAAAGGTTTATTGGGGTAAGTAACGCACTAATGTAAGAATACAGTAAATTTACTCCTGCAGCTCCTCCTGTCTATGATATTCTTGGCGCACTCATGCATGCTTGGTGTCTGCTGTGAAATGCTGTACAAGAAGATATGCACTTGCATATTTTTTTCTGAGTGGCGTATACAGTCATGGCACCATGAGAATGAAATGAACCAGGACATGTTATAGATCCACCCAGGCACACAATGCAAGTTATAAAATACATCTCAACCCATCAATAACGTTCATGCAGCTATTGGGTTTTACCAGAAAACTCACATTCTCCAATTTTTGTGTTTCTCTAAATACCCAACAAGTGTAGATACAAAGACAAAGAAATCTAGGCATGTCTTCTCACCGGTTAATGCAGGGGATAAACAGGCTGGAAGGTTGCAATTTTCCATCTGGATTTTGGGGGGAGGGGGCTCTTTTGTTTTTTTAAATTAATTATTTTTACTTAGTTTTTATTAGAATGGAAGATGATAGGTATGGCACCATGAATTTTATCAGTAGGGAGATTATCATCACCCTTGACCCAACAGATTAGCGGGTTGAGCAGTGGTGGTCCATCCATACAGGCACTTGTTGGTATAATTAAAAGAATTCTATCGAACATCTTGAAGATGAGTTGTATTTGTTTTTTGATTTTCAATTATTACAGATAGCTTTGCATGTGATGGAAGATTGTGGTGGCCCTTCATAAAATAACTGATCCAAGGATTAATCTGACTGCCATTCTGGGGTCAATAAGAATTTTTTTTCATAGTTTTTTGCAAAATTGGAAGTGCTTCAAACTGGGGTGTTTGCCTTCTTTTGGATCAACAGCAAAAAATAAATGTGAGAAAGGCTGAACTTGATGGACGCAAGTCTCTTTTCAGCTATGTAACTATGTAACTGTCATTTTAGAGTATTTGAAGGAAAAAAACAGGTGTTTTTTTTGGCTGGTTATTTAAAATACTACTCTAACCCCTTTTAAATGTTGGGGATTTTTAGTTTATACTCCCCCCCCCCCTTAATACCTGCAAAAAAGCAATACACTTACCTGTAATCAGGCACCTAAAAAATACTTCTAAAAGCAGAAGAGGTCACTGTGGTTAAACTTTGAAAGCAAACAATAGAAAAGTATCCAGTGACCCCCTATCAGAGAGATGACCACTGACCCAAAGCTCATATTGGAAGTTACTTTACAGACTTGTGGAAGTGTTTTATTCACATTTGATGTCACAGAGTAATTGTGTGAACTGTATTGGACTAACTTAGTAATATTCCATGTTACAAGAGATACCTGATGATCTTTCATAAACCAAACTTGATTAAAGTGAATTAGAGAGAAGAGCAGGGCATTGATCCAAATCTCTGCCTATATTTTACAGAAATACATCAAGCTCAGCCCTAGACTGTTATACGATGTTAGTCATTGCATACGGGATAAAACGTATCACAATAGTCAGCAAATTTGCCCACAATGACTTTGAATGAGTACAATATTACGATATTGCTTCCTAAAAGGAAAGTATTAGACATGAGCATGGGGAAATATAATTTGATTTATTTTCGGTTTTACTTTCAGTATTTCCAAACTTAATTTAGGTGAAAATAAGTAATTATCAATTCAGAACAAACTGAAATTTGTCCAAAAATTCACACGTCTGTTATTTTCCATGCAGCACTCTTTAGTAGATAGAATAGATAGATTGGGAGCTGGCTAGTAGTGCACACTGTCAAATACCATGTCATTTACCTGTTGTCTTTTGAGGTTTGCATCATTGTTATTGGCTCTCAAAGCGATCCATTAGCCCGGTGGTCAATCTACTAATTAGTGCACAGTTAGAGTTAATTTTGACTGGTTATTTTCAGCAAACCTAAGGTATATTAAAATGAAAAAAAAGGATTTAGTGCTTGAATATT